TTATGAATGTGAGCGGGTGTGTACGAGACAGCATGTGACGCGAATCCATCATCTGCAGGTCTGTCGTCTGACAGTCTACATCGCTTTCTGTGTGTGATGCGTGTCTGACTATGCGACCCGAGGAATCGGCTGTAACCGCGACCAAAAAGAACGCAGCGGAATGAGATCGTTAGCTACTCCATCGCGCGCTAGATGTTTTTCAATTGGTTGAAGTGTGAACTGAAAGTTAAAGAAAGAGAAGGATAAGTCAACGATAAGTCAATGAACAGTGTTGGAAACGAGACGCATAACGCCTTAAATGTGTCCTCGGGAATTCAGGAAATTCGCCTAATATTCTAGGGAAATCAAAAGCAGTGTATGGGTTTAGTTTAGTTCACCGGTTCAACACTGAGATATCTGAAGATGAAAGCGAATCGAAGAAACCCCGAGGAATCATTCATATTGATTAATCGAAGAGAAAAGTACAGATGAAACAAACGATAAACAGTGCATAACACACCCTTATCTGTGGTTCAAATAAACCGGTTTCTATGTGCTTTGGACCCTCAGGTGTGAAGTTCGAACGTTGCCGTCGCTATGGAACACACGATTTTGTCGTCCGGCTGTATATTAGGTCTATCCTAGTGAGCCTCGTGTGGTTTTCGGTCCGTATGCACACGCGATTTAAATTTAGAGCTGTTGAACCCACAATAATTTGTGAAAAGAAAAAACCGAGAGAGAGAGAGTGAGAGATACGTACCTGGACGAGGACTAACTGATCCCGGAGCAGTTAGATCACAATCCGAAGGCGTTTGCCATGCGAACATGGAAGCGCCATTGGGTTTAACGGCATCACTGAAACGTAACGAAAATTGTAATCACACTATGAGACATCGTGCAAATTATTCCCTTATCTAAAAAATTAATATTGAAACAAACGAAAGGTTTCTTGTGCTATTTCTATAAGAGAGAAAAACGTTGATCCCAAGCACGAAGTACAAGGAATTCAAAGGATCCACCTTTCGGATACAAGCTGATAAGTTCGTCAGGTGATAACGGTAACACCGCTCGATGTCCATTAGCGTATGCACCCGTGGAAGTAAAATACCAATAATGACCTTCTTCCTCCTTTATTGGATATACTATGGCACAACGCAACCTTCATGACAGGGTGAGCTGTAGCCGCAAAGGCGCCACACGGGAACAAATTAGGTTACGACTGTGGGATTGGAACTATCTACCGGTCGATATGATGATGATCTTAACGATTCAATCACCTTCGCCCCCATTGCTCACAGGTCGTCACGTAGACCGAGCCGGGGTTGATTTGATACTGCTGATTTATACAGAACAAGAGGGCACCAGAATAACAACACAAACCCGGCAAAAGGTTCACAGTCCAGTAAAAATAGTTACAGAACACTAAACAGAAACACCCTAATAAGCTTTTAGGCTACTATGACACCCAAGTGTCACTAATCTGGGAGAAGCAGTCGAGCGAGAATGACTGACTGCCAAGTAAGTCACCGGTCAAAGAGTTCAACAATCGATATGTAAGGTAGACCTTCGAGACAAACCGCTTTTAATCGCTGAGCAACAGACTGGGCATGAAACCGTTTCTGATGTGTGAGTTTTCACCTTCATCTGAGTAGTGAAAAATTCGCCTCGATTACACAAAGTATGGCCTGGTATGCAGACGTAGACTAAAGAGCTGAGAAACATTGTATAACAGTTTTGATCTCATTCAGCTTCACAAATGCAACTCCATCGACAAACTGAGGATCCAGTCGGGGATCTCACTGGCAGAACGAAACATACTAGCTATATGGCCGACACAGGACAGCTGATTCCTGTTTCAGAAACTCGGACACTCCGATTTACCTTATTTTAGAACAGCTGAGCGTATTTTATACACGCATAGCTGTAGATCTCCCAGACACACTTAGAGAGTGGCCCATATTCCTGAACAGAACCGTGGGTTATTCATAGAGTAGGCGGACTGTGACCTTCACTGAATGTATCAGCAGCAGTGCTCAACCATCATTGAACTGATCCAACTAACTTTGTAACCGAGTGATGCGTATGGATATAATTGATACCTGGAAACGATGTGTTTTGGAGCACTTTAAACAAGTGCTGAATGTAAATGGAACTCATGAACCGACTGACCAGCTTGAAGGTACTGCTCAGATTTTGCACCAATCCAAAAAGAATGCTGGGCTAATGAATGTCTAGCAGCCAAGAAAAGTTTCGCACACTTAAGTATACTCTATTGAATTTTGGAACAGATATCAGGCGGCGAAGCTGCTCGGTTTGACAATGATTGTACGAGTAAAAACGATAGTTGCGCCCAGCTTGAAAGGAAGACGAGTATGGCAAAAAAACAGCCAATCCAACCATAGACATGGATAGACAACCGAAAATTGAGACACGCACACAGCACACAAACAGTTTCCATAAAAGGCAGAGCACGAAGAACAACAAGCAGAAATGCGAGATCACCACGGGGCAGATGAACGGGAGGAGGAGTAGGCTGGTTGTGATGCGGTAAGTAGGAAGGGGAGGAAGGGGCAAGAGGTTATGTGTAGAGCCGACTATCGAAATGAAATTAAAAGTTAATCGAAACTGCTCTAGGGGACACCTTTCCATTACTCAACAAGCAGTCGGTTAAGAACAACGCTTCCAAAATAGTTTGCATAAGATATTTCTGGTTTGAGGTTAGGCAAGCAGAGCTCGACGGACATTAAACTCAGTTCCGTAGAATTCAAATAGCATCGGCATGCACTACTTATATCAAAATGCTTTTTTATTACGCATCCTTGTGTGATGAACAGCAAACGGGGTAAAAACCGTAGTCGTGAAAATCCGTTGCTCAGTGATGCAAACTAGCAGTCTAAACCAAGGGACTTAGAGTGGCGAGCCACATAAGGCTCCGATAGGTCAGGCGCGACATTGAACGGGACGACAGCAAAGCTGCCTAGTATCAGGTGAAAACCATAAGAAATACTGAACAGAAACTGAGGAATGGTTAACAGGCATACGAAATCAGACAGACTGACGCAATATAAAACATACGTGGTAAGCAGTTTTGATTCCGTGGAATTCAAGTCCAACACATCTCCCGACGGCCCGCTAGGAACACTGTTAGTGAAAGCATGAGATAGGGATGCATGTTAGTTTAAACGGCAGGGATTGTTTTAGTCAAGCAACAATTTTTGCAAGAGGTTAAGGTAGCCGAATCAGTGACATTGAAACAGGCATTAAATATGTAAGACACTGATAAGGGGCGAAATTAAAAGTAACCCCATAGGTGATGTGGTACAATGTTTTGGGATAACGGATCGATTAGAGTTTGACGAACAAAGAGATCGTTAATAAGCAAAACTTCGTCGGGTGAGCGTCCATCGAATAACGACGATTAAATAGCAAATATAAGTGAAGTGGAAATGAAACCCATACGCTCTTGGTTTGATATGACCCAATCCTAAATCACACTGATATGATGACAAGAGTAGTTGGATATAATGAATACAGTAATATGAACAAAGCTGACATCGTGGACTGAACAGGTGTTGCACCACCCAGAAGAACACTGGGTAACTCCGATACAGGGTAGGTTTTGCGTCTTCAAAGTGCAAGTTTGGCAGGCGTCCGCCCTGTGTCACCGAGGACTGAAAACCGTTCTGTTTATCAAGGCGGAAGTATGGGTCAGAGCTCCAGAGGAATTGAAAACACCCTAATAGCTATATCTGTGGAAGAGGTGTGACACCAGACTCTATTAAAGACCCAGAGTACAGAACCATAGTCCACGCAACATTGCCGTGTGGATCTGGAACCTGGTCAGTTAGTGTGAAATATGTTCGATGGTTTGCCGTGGTTGATAATCGTTAACTTGGAACATTTGCTTCCGTTCGGTGGGGGATTATTTACCAATGACCAATGTGAAAGCCAATGTGAGGTCTGACAAACCCCGTTAAGGAAAACATCACGTCACTACGTCGTTTGCGTTGGGCACGGTTGGAAACGATCCTGGGGGCCAGACTAAAGTACGATGAAAGAAAATGCACCTCCTTCTTCTATCCACATACGTCCCTGGAGAGATCACTCCTGGGTTCTTGTGGGAGGGGGAAGCGATTCCAACTGAATGGCGCGAATCGGTAATCATACCGATTTACAAGAAAGGTGACAGATCCTCCTGTGAAAACCACAGAGGAATTAGTTTAATTAA